CCCCGCCGCCAGCATCGCAAACGGACCATGCCCGGGGCAGGAACGATCCGGAAAATAAACCAGAAGATTCACCGATCTCAGTACCAAGCCTCTCAGCTCAAAAGTCAGAGCGTGTAGTTTTATACCAGCCCTGGACAGCAGAAGGGTATTAAATGAAATCTGGGCACTCTGTGAAGATTGGGAGGGGGGCAGTTGTCACCAAACCTGCCACACAGGTGACAAAACCAAACCACGGGTCCGTGGGACACGCATTCACACCCACACACAGACAGCATCAGCCCCCCCCAGAGGCAGAGACACCAGGGACGACCACCAGCCTTATTTGTATTTTCCATAACCATCTATAAATCCATAAAGAGTGCTCGACCCCCCAGGAAGAAATAAAAGCAAAAAATTCCCAGATACTTAGAGACAGACACAGCAAACACAGGTAATTTTTCAGTTATATTCGCACAGAGAGCGAGGTCATCTTGTAACCTTGACAAATCGTTACTTGATAAATAAGTGTGACCTTAGCCCTCGGGATCAAAACAAAAAAGCTTGATACAGAGGCAGCATTGTTAAACAGAGGGAAAAAAGTCCATTTTTTTCCCCAGCAACATCCAAATATTTCCTGAAACCTGATGATAGTCGACATTTTAAGTGGCATCTGAGCTGGACTCGTGTCAGAAAAGAACAGGCACACAAACAGAGGCACAGCTGCTGGCGAACGCCGCGGGAGACATGAAGAGCCCGTATCCAAGGCGCCCGCGCCAGCAGCCGGGAGGGACCCCCCCGACCGGGCCGGCACACAAACCTACCGGGATGTACGACCTTCCACAGCGGCCTGATTCTGCCGTGACTGTCCACGAACGAACGGGCCGCCATCGTCGCAGGAGCTTTTGTCGGGACTAGAGCGGGAGAGGCGGCCGGTGAGCTTCCTTCTTCAGCTTGCGATGACGGCGAGCCTGTTTATACAGCGGGAAAGACCGGTTCCCGAAGATGCCTGCTAATCAGGCCACTACCAGCACCGGGCAAGGAGACTCGAGTAAGCAGCAGCCGTCTAACCCAAGGGTACACAGTGCTTTAAAGGCGGTGCTTTGAAAGGATACGGCTCACTGCCACCACCGGGGGTTTGTAAATACTGATTAATGTGTCACCAGAGTGTGTGTGTGTGTGTGTGTGTATGTGTGTGGCCAGGGGAGGGGCGGGTCTGTGGTGATGCACTGTGACCACAAACTTCCACACACAGGTGTGTGTGCGCGTATGTGTGTGTGCGTGTGAGAGAGAGTCATCTTTATAAGTGACATACCTGACATATTACACATGTTTAACCATAATTTAAACAGTTTCACTTAAACTAACATGGCCTGACTCTGTAGCATACCTGTGAATGTGATTTAAGTCATGGGGACTCAAGGGGTAATGGGGAAGCCTGATTCTCGGCCCCTCCCCGTGGTGTTAGCATGTGTGTGTGGGGGGAGGGAACAGGCCCAATATTAGAGCTACATCATGGAAAAAGAATTAAAATTTTTATCCATCTTGGGTGACTATGACAACCTCGTTAAAACAAGTCAGTGTGAACCAGGACAGGATGCGGGCCCCATGAAAAGCTATTTGTGTTTGGCCTTCCAGCTGTGACGGACCCAGCTCCTCCGTTTGTGGAGAGAGAACATGCTCTTCAACTAACGAGGGGTCTCTGCAGCCTACCATGTGGCCCCCTGGTGGAGGTTAATGGTGAAGCGCAACCTGAACATGTCTCAAGCCGAACTCTCCGCAGCTTACAGAGTTTCCTGGTTGGGGGGGTTTCCTGGCATCAGGGACGATTCGCGAGCAATAGATCAATGAACAGAAAGGGCTTTCCATCCCACAGGATGGAGCTTGTCCTGCTGCCTGTCCCCCCAGCCCCCCCCTTCCATGACAACTTTGAGGGTTACCACAGTGCGGTCCCACTGGAGAATGAAGGCGTGTGCGGGTCCCGTAAAGGCCCGCCAACGACACGAGAGCGAACCCGACAGTACGCAGGAAATAGGGAGTTCATTCAGTGAGCCCTCAATGGGTCCTTGTGCCCCCCCCACCCCCAAACCCCAACAATCCATTTCTCAGAGAGGCAGCGTGGGTGCACAGCGACTCTGTGGCCCCCTCCTTCTAGGCTTTAGGGCAAGCTGAGGCATGATGGGTAAATCTAAGGAAGGATGTCAACAATGCCACTGGGGGGGGGGGTGAGAGACAGAGAGGAGGAGAGAGAAGGAGGCCTTTTCTGGAAATCCATTTTTATGAAAAGCAAATCAACAAGAGAAGCCACTTAATTTTTCTGTGAAAGGAGGAAGAAAGCAAAGCAAACAAGGACTAAAATAAGCGGAAGGAATTTCCTGAGAGAGACGGATCTAACTTCACGCAAAAGGCCGAGGCAGCAAGATCAGACAGACATCTGGAATGGCAGCAATGCCAACCATGCAGTGGAGCAAAGCGCAACCCCAGGAGACCGGAAAGGTAGGGGGACTGCAGGCGCAAGTCGGCACGCAGCCCTCAGACGACAGGCGAAAACAAAACAGCATCTGCTGTCGGGTGACATGACAGCCGCAGCTGACAGACGTCTTCGTGACAATGAGACAACGGCATTCCCGACAGCATTCTGGACTGCGAATAGTGTCCGGAATGACACACACGCTGCGGTGCCATCCGTGAGTCACGCTCACTGCACCCCACATCCGTCCCTAACCGTAGTGGTTCCAACAGCACCCAGAATCAAAACACACCAGCTAGAATAACTGAGCTTACAGCACCAACACATAGGGGAAGATGGTGTTGGGGAAGAGATGCTCCAGCACCGTCCGGGGGGAGCAGAGTGGGCGGGGCTGGGTAGCCATGAGCATCCGGCTGAGAGCAGGCAGCTCACCGCTTACGGTGTTTACACCTGCGGATTCCGCTCCTCAACAGACAGATACAGTCAACATCCACGTCCCAGGCCACCCAAATCAAATCCGGCCCGTCGGTCAGCTGATCCATAAAAGCGCTATGTCTGATTGGACCGGGGAGAGCAGAGGGAATGCGTAGTTAAGGCAGGAGACAAAATGACCGTAAAATGGCTAGTCACAAAAAAGGGTGCTAATCTTCATGAAGGCGAGTGTTTTCCACTCAGTGATGAAGAGACGGGGAACATGACCCCCCCCCCCCCCCCCTTAACCTGCTTTCATTTCTGCCTCCGCACTTCCCTAACTGCGCTGGACGCGAGCCAGTCCAGGTGCCGCAGCCTTGCATTCTGAACACGGCGCCAGAATGACGTGTCGACTGTACGGACCGCAGCAGGACTGAAGGGACGGACAGAGAAGTTCCCATAGACAGCTGGTGATGGACGCAATTAGTCAGCCCCTTACACCGCAGCGCGTGTGAGGAGCAGGAGGGCTCACGCACACGCACACACACACACACACACACACACAGACCTGCAATCATATCTTTGTGGGGACCGCTCATTCATTTCTATGGGAAAAATGCTAATCCTACCTATGACAACCTTAACCCCCACCCAGCCCTAAATTTTTTGGAAGATTAAGTTTTCCTTTATGGGGACCAGAAAACCAGCCCCCTTAAGGTCGAAAAACAGGTATTCATTACGTTGTAGAAACATTTGGTCGCAAGGTATATACACATACACAAAACCAAAATAACAACACTGCAACGTTTCACCGAAAAATTCCTCCTCCCCCCCACCTCTGCAAGTGTTTTCCAGGTAGTGACGACAGTACACCAGGCCCCCCACCCCAGGTGACAGACACGTCCACCTGGGGAGGTGCCATGTGGATCGGGTCCAGTCCCGCTATGCAGTGAGTGGGGGGGGGGGTTGGGTAAGTGCTCTTTCCATTGTTAATTAGCAACTCAGATGCTCACACACGCCCCCTGAGCTACAGAGTGGCCCCCTGCTGGCTGCTCTCTATAAACACACATACACGCTTTCATCTCTCACCAGCGGCACTCTGCAGTCCATCACCAGGAAGCAGGTGACAGTCACCTCCCCCCCCACCTCTGGGTCCCCACTGACTGACCTGGCGTGAGCCGGTCCCTTATCCGCGTCTAGCACCTCCGTTGGCCACGACGGGACACCGCCGGCTCTCCGCTGCACACATGGGTGAGCGGCTTAGCAGACAGGACACGCTCTCTCCTCCCACTGGCGTGGCGACAGGATCCCAGACGATGGCCAGCTCGCTTACCGCTCACTTGCTCGCACCGCGAGTCCGCCTGCTCCGCCCTGCCCCCCCCCAGCCGATCCGTACGTATAATCGCATTCCAGCAGGGCCGAGTCATACGGGTATGGTTAGCCGGGTGCTCCGCGTCTCTGTCCCACTCTGTGTGTGTGTCTCTCTCTCTCTCTCTCTCTCTCCTCTTCTGCAGGGAGGAGGGCGATCAGCAGCACAGTCACTGAGGATGGAGATGACGGGGATGGGGGGGGGTGTTGCTCTTATCGGCCGTTACCGCTGTCGCTAACCACAGTAGCGCGATGCTGAGCATGATACACTGAACGGGGGGGGTGGATAGAGAGAGAGAGAGAGGGAAATGGGAGGGGAGAGAGAGGGGGATGGGGGAAAGCAGGGGCGGGGCACAGTTAGAGAGCCCCCACCACTCCCCCTCCCCACACACCCCTGCCCCAACACACACACAGCATCCTATCTGTCCCAGAATACTGACCCGAGGGGGCGGGGGAGGGCATTTAGGGGTCGCCTGACTAGGCGAGGAGTTCAGAGGAAAAAAATAGGGAGGACAAAAGGAGAAGAGGAGAAAGCGAAAGGGGCCCCATTCAGATGCAGATGAGGCTGGGGGCGGTGGGAGGGGGCCGTGCTGCAGGGGGCCCCGTGGGCATATTTTACTGCTGCGGCACCAAATGCTGGGGACCGACGGACGGCTCATCTGATAAACGAGGATTCCCGTCTGCTATCTGTCACAAGACAAGCGTCACATCGCACCAACAGTGAAATCCACATGTAAAACCCCCAAACGGTCCATCAGATGCTCTGTAGTGCAGAAATCAAAATGTAAATCTGAATGTCAGTGATTTTAAAATGCTCGGTCCTCCTAACTGAGAACAAACTGGGATTTAGTGAAAATCCACAGCTGTGAGATTTACACTGAATTGAATTCACTGCCCCCCCCCCCCCATCCCATAAGGAAGGAAGAGGGGAAGGGAGAAACTTCTGGAAGCATGATGGAACCTCCCATTATGTCCCCCACGCCTCCCGCCGGGTGCCACTTGTAGGCCTGGAACTGTTCTGGGACACGGCGCGGAACAGCTGCTCCTCCCGCCGTCATATTCCCATGACGGACCACAGCAATCAATGACATCGTTGGCCAGCAGCCAATCGGAGCTTGAGGCCGACGTTAACCGATGTCAACTGACAACAACATCCTCTGTGTGACTGCCGCTCTCTGTCAGTGTCATATTGGAGGAGATCACTATGGAAACCCCACCCCCCCCTTGATCCCATGCCCTGCCCCCTGCTGGTTACCACGTTGCCGCGACATTGTGCAACAGTCCGCCAGATGAGCCAAAAGATTTAAAGACCCACCACAATACGTGACCACTTTAGAGAAGAAATTTACCCAATAATAATAATAATAATAATAATAATAATAATACATTTTATTTCAGGGCGCCTTTCATGAACCCAAGGTCACCTTACAGACATAAGAAATAAAAACAATAAATTACAATAAAATAAAAGGAAAAACTATAGACAAGATTGACTGCAAGTAAATACTGTATTTAAAGCAAGTAGACCATTTTGAACAGATGTGTTTTGAGCTGTGACTTAAATGAGGAAAGGGAATCAGTGTTCCTTAGGACTGGGGGAAGTGAGTTCCAGAGCCGAGGGGCGGAGCGACTGAAAGCTCTGTGCCCCATGGTAGTAAGACGGGCAGAGGGAACAATGAGATGAATGGCAGACGATGACCTGAGAGAACGGGAAGGAGTGGCAATATGTAGCAGATCACACAGATAGGGAGGGGCGAGGTTATGGATGCACTTAAATGCAAAGAGTAGGATTTTAAAGTTTATCCTAGCTTCTATGGGCAACCAGTGAAGTTGTTGGAGAACTGGTGTGATATGATCTCTTAACGGAGTCCGAGTTATGACCCGAGCTGCAGAGTTCTGTAAAATTTGAAGTTTATGGAGAGATTTGTTGGGAAGGCCAAATAGGAGGGAGTTACAGTAATCGATACGGGAAGTGATGAGACTATGCACAAGGATGGGGAGCATGGGGAGTAAGGAAGGGACGGAGTCGGTTAATGTTACGTAGGTGAAAGTATGCAGACCGGGTGATGTAATTAATGTGGGACTGAAAAGAGAGTGTACTGTCCAATAAAACACCTAGACTCTTTACCTGATGGGAGGGATGGATAAGGGAGTTATCTATGTCAATAGGAAAACTATGGGATTTTGTCAGAGTGGAAGGTGTACCAATGAGCAAAACTTCAGTCTTATTACTGTTAAGTTTTAGAAAATTGGAGGAGAACCATAATCGAATCTCCATAAGGCAGTTAGAGAGGGAGATGGGGGGAAGGGATAAAGAACCTCTTTATCTCAGTCTGAACCCAAATATCACCTTTGACATGAGGACTACAGCAGAAAATAATATCAGAGAGACATTACTGTGTGTACAGCACACGCACACATCCTGCACAGCACACCTGAATGCGCAGTAACTATATCCGGTCAGGGTGACATAAAAACCAATAATGCAGTTCGACCAGTAGCTGTAACTGTCGCGAGTTTCAGCTGCCATGAGCTGTAATTTTGGCATGATCCTCAGGCTGTATCCAGAGTTACGGCGCAGGCAGTGGAAGCATCCGGAAGGTGACACAAAGCTTTAATCCC